GTGGTGAGTAACTTGGCTCCCAGATGTTCTACTTAGTATTTGTCAGGATCTTAATATCCAGTATATGATGGAGGCTGAATTAAAACTACATTCCCCGCCTCATGCAGTCTTTAAGAAGTGAAGAGATGAAGGGCATTATACCTGCCCCTTGGTGCCTTTTCAGCAAACATTTGTTATAGATAGGTATAAGGCAGGCTGTTCTCTTTGGTTACTTACCACTTTTCATCACTATTTAAGGTTGCTTCACATTTAAGATTGTAGCTTTGAATATTGGCTCTTAACTTTTGGGTGGTACAGTAGGTATACCTTCAGTTGCATTCTAAAAGTCCATGCAGAAAACGGCCTACTGTTTTACTTTCAAAAAAGTCAGCCATTAGGGACAATATTTGTCTCATATGTGGATTACCTTGATTCAGAATTAACTTAAAGGTAGTCTTTATACTGGGAAAAGACCTTTTTTGCCCTATCAAGTTCAAGGTTAATTGGTTATTTTTGCTGTTTAACTTGCCAGGTTGCTTTTGTTGTCACCCGATGGTTTCATTTTAATCTTGTAATTTAATTAAAACGATAATATAGTCTCAGTATAAATTTAAATAGCATATAAACATATAAAGTATTAAACCAAACAGTCCTTACCTCTTAATCTTGCATGGGTGTAATCATCCCAGCCTCAAATTCAGTTTTGAATTGTTTTCTGTGGAGCTTGTTTAAAGTGCATGAAGAAGAAAAGTTGATGTCAGTCATGGCAGCCCAAGTTTTGATTAATTGTTGTACAGGCCAATCATTGTTAGAACAGTGTGCAGCTTAATAACTTTGCAAATTTGAACATGAAAGTTTTTACCATTTATTATTAAAATTTTTTTATTTCATATGAGTATAGTTTTAGGTTGTTTGCTAGTGTAACATTTATAAAAAGATAAAGAACCAATGCTCTTACCAGAAATGTGAACTCATTGTAGGTAAAAGAGAATGAATGAATTCCCATTGAACTTTTAAAATTGACAGACTTTTAAGATACCATACTTATTATAGTTGACATTATAAAACCTATAGTTTGGAGATACTATTTGGATAAAACAGGAGAGAAAAAAGAGACCGTCAGCCCTGTAGAGATTTGCAGCTGTGGGAATCCTGGGGGCAGTTCTCACCTTCAGAATTGCTATGAGTTGGAATCAGCTTGACTGGCAGGGAGTGGTGTTTAAGTAAAAAGTCCTTATATTCCAGTTTTCTGCTCTTACTGCTCTGTTTTTTTCTTCTGTGGTGTGTGATTCCACATCCATAGTATGTGGGTTATAAAAAGTTGAGTTAATGCTAGCCCATTTTGTTTTGTAAATTATTAGCTAGCATGTGAATGTTTTCTGATAATTGAATGTTATCTCATAAAAGAGGAAAATTGTTCTCTTTAATCCAGAAAGTTGACTTTGTGTACCTGTGACTATCTCCTTACACTCTTAACGAAATGGAGTGTGTGTGCTCCAGCATCACCCTGTGATAAATTGTCAATTGGACCATTGTCATCCATAAGCCTTTTTATTATGTATCGTGTATCTTATATATGGTTATTGATTGCCTTCGAGTCGAGCACAATCCATAACAACCCTGTGAACAAAAGGCTTGAAGCCTTTCTGTAGCTATTGACATATATCAAATTTCTAGAGGCATGTTGTTTAGGAAGTGGATGCCACTCCTGCTTCCAAATATATATATTGTATATCATTTATAGCCTATCAACGCAATTCAACTGCCATTGAGTTAGAATCGACTCATAACCAAGCCTCCTGCAGGTTTTGAGAGACTATAAATTGCAAGGGGTGGGAGTGGGATTGTCCATCTTCTCCATGGAACTTGTGGATTCTGCCTTCTGATTGGCAGTACAGCTCTTTACCCCTTAGGCCACCAGAGCTCCTTTATAGTTATTTGCATAGTGCTTTTATGCAAATAATGCATTTGTTTTGTGATTTTATTCCAAGCAGTACAAGCCCTTTCACATTAGTTTCCTTTGTATGTTGTGTACATTGTATGTATGTGCACAGTACTTGCTGGGAAACTCTAGTTTTATTTTTTTGCTACGAAAGCATACACAATAAAATGTGTTATTTCAGCAATTCCTATCTATAAAATTCAGTTACATTAAGTACATTCCTCAAGTTACACATCCATTCTTATCCATTTCCCACATTATTCCATCATTATTCAAGTAAACTCACTGACTCCTAAGCTGCTGCTCCCCCCCCCAAACTTCTTATCTTACTTTTTTATTCCATTTGTCATTTTGGTTCCCTATCAGTGTTCTGTAAAAGAGCAACGACTCAAGGCAGATAATTTTTACTAATTAAGCTAAATTATGATGACAGTATAGAAAAGGTTTAGCTTCCTCAAGAATTTGAAATTTTGTCATCAATCCCCTTGTTAGATACCATCAAGTTGAGTACACCTAGTGAACAGCAGGTGAACAACAGATCTGAACCCTGCCCTATCCCGTGCTATCCTCACAATCCTCTGACACACTCAAGCCCATTGCTGCAGTCTCTGTGTCAGTCCCTCTGGTTGAGGGGCTTGGCTTTCTCTCCTTCACTGCCCCTCCTCCACCTTTCCATGCATGATGTCCTTCTCTAAGGAATAACCTCTCCTAGCAACATACCTACAGTATGAATGAAGTTGTGTTGTCTTGCCTGAAGGAGCACTGTGGCTGCACCTTCTCCGAGACATAGCTGTTCTTTTGGCAGTCCATGGCCTATTGAGTACTCCCTTCCATGTCCCTCTCCCTTAGAGAGCTCTGTGGAGTCTTCAAGGAGAATCTTCTGCTGGCAGGAACAGCTGGCACATCTAGTGATAGCACCACAGGATTTTCCTGAAGGTCACCAGGCCGTTTGATGCCTAGTCTGCCTTGGTGTGGAAGTTCCTCTGAGACCTGTTCAGAATTCTAGCAACACTCAGGCCCTGTGGACAGATGAGTGGTGGCTGTGCATAAAGCGCTTTGGCTGAGAATCAAACCCAGGACTGCTGCAGAGGATGAGAATGACTCTTGACTGCCCCTTGACTTGTTTGCTGTGAGTTTATTTGTGTTATGGCAGGTACATTTAGAATCCTGTGAGAAATATCCTTATATTTCCAAATTTCATGTATGTGCCAGTGTTTTTTAAACAAAAATGATAAAATACTAAATAAAACATATGATCCTATCGTTTACACTCATCAGTTGTGTATGTATTTGATAAGGGAGAGAAGAGGATGTCAATTTTGTCATTTGCTTTTCTCTGTGTTGTCAGTGTTAGTAAAGCTGATGGCAAATTTAGGAAGATCAAAATGGTCTTTTACAACAGTACTCAAGGTTTCATATTACTTAGAATGGCTTTGAACCGTAAATGCTCAGAAACTTATAAGGTAACATTTTAAAATGACTTTGAACCTACTAGCCACTCTGGGGGCAGATATGGCCATTTGTAGCTTTGGAAACACTGGGACAGTTTTACTCTGTCTTACAGGATTCTCTCTCTGTGTGTCAAAATCGATTGGATGGCAGTGGGTATATGTGCAAAATTTACAGAGAGAGTGTGTGTATTTCAATTCCGGATTTGGGTTCTCTGAAAATTGCTTGAAAACAGAGAACTGGTCAGAATAGAAGATGATGGATTCATGAAAAATCCTTTGGAAGCCAGAGCTTTGACAGTGTCTTGTCTGTAAAGGACCATGCAAGAATCCATAGCGGTGGGTTTTGAGTTAGGCCCGGCAGTGTTGTTGTTATTTGTTATGTGCCGTGGAGTCCCTTGCGACTCATAGCAACCCTATGTACAACAGCCTTAAACCCTGCTCTGTCCTGAGTCAACCTTACTGTTTTTGACACACTGACCCCCATTACACTAGTCACTGAGTCAATCCATCTCATCCAGGAAGACTCAGGGTCTTTCTGTCCTGTGCTGTCCCTCCACCCTCCCAAGTGTTATATCTCTCCGAAGACTGGTACCTTGCAACATGCCCCAAACAAATCGTTGCTTCCAAAGAGCAGTGTGGTTTCACCCTGTCCAGGGTGAATCTGTTAGCTGTACATAAATAGAATCTAGCTTTCGATGTTCTCTGAAGAATGCCTTCATACCATCTTAGAATCTGGGTAAAGTTCCACACCTGCATAAATAAGTAACCTTTGATTTGACTATGTTTCTAGATTTTCTTTATTCTGATACTTGAGTCTTTGAGTGGTGGTGACTCAACTGCTAACCTAAAGATTGACAGTTAAACCCACGTAGCAACGCTGAGGTGATGGGCCTGCATCCTGTGTCTGTAACGTTTCTAGCCAAAAAACTACTGAGCAGTTCTTTATCACGTGGACTTGCTGGGGTCACTGTTGATTTAACTACAGTGTGTTTGGTTTTGTTTGTAATGAGTTCTTTTACTTCAGTGTGGAAATTTATCTAGCATAAATATCTTAGGCTGTTCACATTTCTCTTTTTTCCAGTTTTCTTAGTGACTACTCAGAAAGGCTGCTGCTACTTGTGGCTGCAGGTTTTGCTTCTTCTAAACCACACAGGGCTTTTCAAGGAATGTAATCTTCAATAATGAGCCATTATTCTTGACTGTAAGCGTTCGTGGAATTTACCATTAACTGTAAGTGTCGCTGCAGTCATTGGTTCCATCTCAGGGTTACCTGCTGTTGAGTCTCTGGGGCTGTACATCACAATGATGGGAGGAGACTGCCATTGGTCTCTCAGAGCGACTGGTGGATTTGAACCCCTGAGAGGAGTACTATTTCAGATAACTGCATAGCTCACTGGGCTGCACCACCAGAGCTCCCTCGTACAATTAAATATGCTTTTATTAATGTGATTTTTCTCTTTTTTTCTTTGCAGTGATTATTTATTCAAGTTACTTCTGATTGGTGACTCTGGGGTTGGAAAGTCTTGCCTCCTCCTTAGGTTTGCAGTAAGTTGAAGTTTAAATACCTTTAAAAAAGTAATTTATACATGTATTTTTAGGTAGATAGAAAAATGAAATCATGTTAGACAAAATTAATGAACTCTTACTGAATTTATGTATTTAATGCATTCAAGCATTTATCCATTTGATAGCCTGGATTCTTAAATAGAGGACTTGATAATGCTATAAAATTAGAAATTAATAACAGGACATTCAAGGACAAATTAAGTACATAGAAGAAATGCTTTTTTTTTTTTACCTTTTAATAAAACATGTTTTATTTCTGAGTCAGAATATATTTGAAGATTTAATGTTAGAATTTGTAATTCTAATAAAACAGTAATTCATTTTTCCCCCAGAGTATAAAATGGTCATTAATCACTATTATGAATGTTTAGGAAGATTAGACCTTGGTTGTTTTGTTTCTAAAATAGATTTCAAATCCAACTATCAAGTCTAGTCTTTTCCTTCCATGACAGAAATTGTTTTTAAAAATTAATTAAGTTTTATTTTTTAAAAAAGTTAATCAAAAGTTTTTACAGGTCAAATTTTGTTGTGTGTTTTTAAGTGAGATACAAGGTGTTATACTAGCGGTGTGATAGAGCTGGCATTAACGGCCTCATGGGAACAATTTGTGAACATTTTTTTCCAACTCCATATTTAAGCCTGTCATATTGAAGACAAAAATCAGCAAACACTACAGATCAGGTTTTTTCCCTTGGAGAGCCAGCTGCTAGACATTTACCATTACACCGTTGTTAGAAGAAAAAAGGAAAAAGAAAAGGAAACCAAAAAGTGGTTTTTTTTGTTGTTGTTGTTGTTGTGTACCGATGAGTAGGAACCCACCTATCAATTACTCTTCAGTGGATTTTCAGAGGTAGTAAATCACATGGGAGGAAACAGTCCATCTTTTCCCTGTGGAGCTGCTGGTAGATTTGAACGACATACCTTTGCACCGAAGTGCAATTCCTTACCACTAAGCTACCAGAACTCTCTGGTTTTAGCTGTAAGAAGAACTTAAAAATGAAGTTGTATATAACTTTTGTGGAATTAAAAAATACTATTCATATTTTCAGTTCTTTGGTTAATATTTTCAGTCTTTCGTAAGATCAAGTAAAGATCCTGAGACATGCTTTTACTCTTAGATTTTCCAAGATTCAGAAATTAGCTAAGTTTAATTAATAGGGCTTGTCAGTACTCTTGGTAGCAGTCATTCAAACAAAGAGTAGTAAGGAGAAAAATTGGCTTATGTTGAAAATGACTTAATAAAAATGAAACTTTAAGTAAAATCTTAGAATATAAAGAAAAGACAAGACCTGGTTGGGCAGTGACATTGTTATGTGCTCATAAAGGGCTTTGAACTTAGGAAGGAGAACCTGCAGTCTCCTTTATATTCTTTATCTTGCCTCAAGTTCAGCATGCTGCTATTGTTACTGTTGAGATTAGCGAACTAAAGACCTCTAAAGACCTCTGGGGTTCAGCGGGTGTGTGAGGTCAAAACTTTAAAATGAGACATTAGTATTTACAAAGTAAATGCTTTTTTACTACTAGGAATAAGACAGGGATATGTGCTTTTTCACTGTGTTGATAGTGGCTCTGCTGGTGCAGAAGCACCGTTGGCTAAAATGTCAGCTTTTCACTCTTCAGGGTAGTTGACAAGCCCTGCTTGTAGTCCTCACTCATGGCGGTGGGGATGGGGATACCATTTGTCCTAATAAAACAGTAAAAATTATTAAAATTAGTAAATCTTGGTTCTTAAATATTATGTATTAAAAATTGATGTAGTGATGTGGAAAGTATATACAATCTATATCTAGAGTGCCTGATTGTTTGGGGTGGGGGAAGTGTCTTTGTGTTGTTGAGTTGTGGGTAAAACTTTCACCCCGTAAAATACCTTTAAAAAACAAAACACTGAAAAGAACCGTGTTGCTGAACATTTTTTCAGCTGAGCTGTGTCAAGTTAAGGAATCAGCTGACTGTATTCGTCACCTATAGTAACATTCAAGTTTTGACAGCTTTCCAGTTACTTATATGACTGTTTTGGTAAAATGAGTGACAGTATTAATGTGATTTTTAAAATATTATAAAATGAAATCTTTTATTGGGAAGACTTGCATAATTTATTATATCAGTATTTTTCCAAATGACAAATTCATGTTGTTAAAAAAAGGTAAAAAAAAATCCATTCAAAATGCGAAGTCCGTTGTGACTCACGGTGACTCTGTAGACAGAGTGCCCTGCAGGATATCCTGGCTATATCTCAAGGTACATAGATGCCACATTCTTCTCTCATGGGTCAGCACTTGGTTTTGACGCCTAACGTTCAGATATATTATCAACTGAATGTTTAATTGCTGTGTTACCCAGACTCCTTATAAAGTGAATCGCTGCTAGCCATTTATCCATTTCAGGTAAACAATGTTTAAGTAAATAGTAATAATGTAATTTTCCATTGCTCTGCTATCAGGGAACTCTGGTGGCGTAGTCTGTAGGAAATTACGCCACTAACCCGAGGTCATACCCCTATAAAGGTTCTAATCCACTAGCATCTCTGCAGGAGAACAGTTGACAATCTTCTCTTGTGTGATTTACAGCCTTCTGAAAACCTGTTGGAGGGTCAGCTGTGAGTTGATTCTGATTAACATTGAACTTGATCTTAATTATAGCAAAGATATCAAAGTGGCAAAATTTGAAACACTTACTTGGTTGACATATATTAGCATCATGAAGTCTTTATTTCTGAGAACATGCATAGTCAGAAAGTTCAGCTATTTGGACAGTATTGATTTGTGATTGAAAAAGGTCAAATTTCCAAAAATAACAATATGTCCGTATAACAAATTAGTATAATTTACTTGCAAATGATAACAAGGAAATTAATTGTGTGATACAAACTAGTTAAAAATGAAATTAGATTTGCATGACTTTAGACTCATTATGTTCTTTGGATTTAAGTGAGTTAGTTAGAAGTGGTTTAAAAAATTTTTTTTAGGTCAAAGTATGGCTTTTTTAAAATTTTTAACAAAAAGTTTTATTTTTTTTCCCCATTATTGCACATTTTTTTCACCTCCTCTTCTCCCTCCCCAGCCTTTCCACAGTGCACTTTCCAAGTGCCCTTGTTCCAGATTGTTGTCATTTAAAATATATTTTGTAAAAATATTTTTGGGTGGTTTATAGAGTTCTACAGTTTGAAATTCCCTTAAGATATTTTGTCTTTGGTAACTTTGGTGATTGCTTCCTATCCATATTTTTTGCCCAACTGTCTATTTGTGGAATGTTAGACTGAAATAGTGAAATTATGTGATTTTAAAATTAGTCTAAATAAAGCATTGGCATGCTAATTAAAAGTAAACACGTTGTAAAAGGCCTAATAGATTTGATAATATAATTTTAAGGTAATTTAGATTTGAATGGCTAGAATTAAGGAAGAAAAAGTTATGTATCAGACAGCCAGTAAATATTTGAGGGGAAAAGTAAGTCATATATAATTGCTTAACAAGCATATACCAAAAATGTATTTCATTTTATGTTGTAGTTAGAAATGTTACCATGGAAATGTCAGACGAAGATAGGTGATAACTTGCTCTTGATATGTGAAAACATTTTCTAGAAGAAGAAAAAAAATAAAATCTTACTAAGCTTAACAGATCATTTGGGAAGCAGGGCTTTATAAGGAGTATAGCATCAAGATTGGAGGAATACTCATCAACAACCTGTGATATGCACATGACACAACGTTGCTTGCTGAAATTGAAGAAGACCTAAAGCGCTTGCTGCAGAAGGTCAAGGACTGTATTCTTTAATATGGATTGAAGCTAGCGAGCTCTGATGGCCTAGTGGCAAGAAGCTGCACTGCAATCCCAGAGGTACACGGTTCAAATCCACCAGATAACTCTCTCTGCTGAAGAAGGAGGAACAATCTCCTCCTGTACCAGTCAGATCCAATTTGACGGTACACACATTTAAAAACAAAAGAAAAACAATATGGATTGAAGCTCAGCATCAGAAAGATAAAGATTCTCACCACTGGGCCAATTGGCTGCACCATATTAGATGGAGAAGAGATTGAGGTGGTTAGAAATTAGAAATTACAGCTTGATTGGATCCACAGTCAACACCAGCAGTCAAGAAATCAAAAGACCAATTGCATTGGAGAAATATGCTGTCATGGACTGCTCCAGAGTGCTGAAGAGCAACTATGTCAGTCTAGATAAAAAGGTGTGCCTAATCCAGGCCATGGTGTTCTCAGTTACTTATTATGCTTCAGAGACCTGGACAGTGACTAAGGATGACAGAAGAAGAACAGATGCCTTCAAGTTGTGGTGCTGAAGAAGAGTCTTGGACATACCATGGACTGCCAAGAAAACAAATTGGTCTGTCTTAGAGGGGATGAAACCAAATCTCTCCTTGGAGGCTAGGATTTTGAAGCTCTGCCTCACTTGCTTTGGGTATGTGACCAGGAGAGATCGGTCCTTGGACGTCATGTTCAGAAGGGTGGATGGACAGTTCAGGAGAAGGAGACCCCAGATGAGATGGATTGATAGAGTAACGGGGGCGTAGTTGTGTTGGAATTAGTGAGACTGGCTCAGGACAGGGAAGGGTTCAGAGCTGCTGTACATTAGGGTCACTATACATCGCAGGTGACTCAATGGCACCTAACAACAATAACATACTATGACATGTTTGGAAGCTGGAGTGACATCCACTTTCTGAACAACACACCTCCAGAAACTCTATGAACTTTGATAAATTTAGTCGATAGTTGGAGGAGCTTTACACTTTTTTTGATAGGGTTGCTGTAAGTCATGCTCAACTTGAAGGCAATCAACAACAAACAAAAAGATATAAAATTGTCAGAAATAAGTGTCACTAGCAAAATACATAGGAGAAATGATTAATGTTCTCAGTATATAGAACATATTGTGTACTCATCAGTAATAAAAAGGTGTTTGTCCCGGTGGGAATGTGGGCAAAGACGAGATTGTTCACAGAAGAAGCAAAAATTG